ATATTGTACGGAAATCAAATGTCTAGCAGGCGATAAAAGCGCACAAGTAATGTCAAGGACTCCACACAGCTCTGTTCTTGAGGTAAACCTAAGCCTCTGTTCAGATGACTTTTTGTACTCTAAAAACATCACCAATGACAGAAGCCAGTGACATGGAAGCAAAGTGCTGTAGCTACTGTGGGACAGCAGTGAGAGGCAGCGGGAGTGCTCCAAATCCAGTGCCAGTTTGTTGGACAACAAATAAACTGATTGCCAGTTAAGTCTATAATCTCACAGCAGCTGCTCATCAGTGAGTGTGTCCATCGGGTTGCTCCTGCCGTGAATATTTTTGGAACAACTTTTTTCTCTTTGACTGAGCCATAATACACTTATTTGGGGTTTATAAGTTGTTGATGAAGATGAATTTGCAACACCTAACAAATTTCAAGGAATTACCTACATAAAAACACATCACAATGAGAAAATCTAGTATTCCACGAAATACCCTAAGGACATGACTTGAGGTGAATTTGCGCAAACCATTTTTTTCTAAGGGAAGTTACTTTTTAAGGTAACTCTTAAATTACGAGGTCTTATGCCACCTGCTACAGCATGCCTGTGCATTATCATTTGTGGCCAACTTATGTGTTCCTCATAAGAGTAGTCATGCATATTCATCAGACATAATTGTAAGGTGCAGTTAGACAAATTGGGGAATGTTCTTTCTCAGTGATAGACTATTTACAAAGTTTCTCACATGTTTATTGTGTTAATATACAACCATTACCACACAGAACAACCTTACCAATGTTTTAAATACTAAAGAAAATGCTGCAGCTTCTCAATAAACTTAAAAACCCTCCAATGAGGAAATTGTTCAGTCTTGTAAAACTAGAAACTCATTGGCATTTCCTTACTACCAATCAACAGTTACAATTAAATCTTTCTACAACAGCTTCCTACTGTTGATTTAGATAAGAAAAAACAATGACATCTGATGGAAAGCATGGTTGTTTGTCATTGGAAAAACATTCCCTTTTTAGTTTGATGATGCACTCAGAATAAAGACTACAACACCTATGGGTTTGGATGGGGGTGCATACACATATGCTTGCTTTCACAAACACACAGGGTCTACTCTCTTTTGAATAATAATGAATACAGATGCAGATGGGTTTCAACCTTGCAGGGCCTTCTTCATCCGTGCAGAAATAATAACAACAGACTGGTAACATCTGGTTCACTTTTTTTGCATTTGCTGGTTTGTAAATCATATCTGGTAATGGCTTTTTGGTGTTTTTCCTTTTTTTATGCTATTATATTGTATACCAAAAAGCCTTAGTTAAATGTGTACATTTAGCATTTTGTTTGAATGTGTTTTGTTGGCAATTAAAATGCAATTCCCAAGTTGCATGAGAACAGTTGAATGTTTATTTGCTTTCACAATCGCTTTTAAGATGCTCTTTAGTACAATGCCTGCATTCACTCAAACTCCTAAAAAACCTCTCTGGTTTTATAGCATTGCCTTCATTTTAATTATTTTTGACATTCATGCATTCTCATGCTTTAGGTCTCAATAAATATTTAAACAAATGCATTATACAGTGGCTCTCAAGCATTTAAGGCAAGGCCAATTTTATTATAGGAAAAAAATACTTGTTTGTCAGTTGTGCAAAAGTGTGTAAGGCAAGTTTATTTATACAGCACCTCTCGGCACACGGCAACCCAAAGTGCTTTACAAAATGAAATAAAAGACATTTAAGAACAAATACAGTGGAAGCACATTATAAAAAGGCATTTAAAAACATGCATTTAAAAAGCAAAGATAAAATCAACACAACGGGTATAAAATACATGGATAAAAAGCCATACTGCAGTTTGAGTGCAGTACTTCATTTGTATAAAAAAAGAGTCGTAAGTGTGGTTGATACGGAGCCCTGGAGGGTTCATAGAGAGACAAATAAATAAAACGTGGCCACGTTTTACTTTCTCGTGCGCACGAGTTACTAAAGCGTGCGCACAAGTTACTAAAGCGTGCGCACGAGTTAATAAAGCGTGGCCTTGTTTGTGTGTGTGCGTGCGTGTGCTGTTCGTGGTAATTTGAAAACAAATGCCGGTGGTGTCGGATACACACGAACACGCACACAGAGCGGAGCTGAGCACACACACACACACACACACACACATCATGCGCCCCGGTGACAGGACATCTCCTTCATAAAGCGAGGGGGAATACTCAGTTCGATGTGTGTATAGGTGTGTGTGGTTAAACGTAGCAGCCTCGATCTCTATTCAGCGGTTCTAGTGAAGTAAACAGTAAAAGGCACAGCTCTTTGCAGCTGGTGCTGCTCTTCTCAGATTCTGCTGAGTTACACGTTACTGCCTCCAGTGCCCTGTACGACGAAGCCAGTTCAACAGACCCTGGACCTGGATATGTTCGATTTACCCGGCTTAACTAACCCTAACAAACGCGATGTCGATAAGTGGTCCTACGAAGCTGGTTATCAACTCAGTAAATCAACCAGGGTTTCTCTGTCCGGCTGAGAGCGCGCTCACGTGAAAGGGACGGGGTTAGCAACATTTGACCAATCACAAACATGGAGACGCGTGCTGACAGCGCAGCGTCATACTTCATGAATGAATAGTGTAAATAGCAAATCCTGCTTCGTAGTACAGGCCACTGGTGCCGCAGAGATTCCATAAAGTGAAGGAGGTTTTCCTTCTATAAAACAGCTGTGGGCAGCAGATACTGTGAGTCACGGACAGGAATCCCTCAATTTAAATAAAACGAGGCCACGCTTTATTAACTCGTGCGCACGCTTTAGTAACTCGGGCGCACGAGAAAGTAAAACGTGGCCACGTTTTATTTATTTTTCTCTCTATGAACCCTCCAGGGCTCCGTAGGTTGACATGTATAATTGCTAGGGCCGGGACTTTAACGCGTTAATTAAGATTAATTAATTACACAAAAATTAACGCGTTAAAAAAATTAACGCATTTTAATCGCACTTATTTTTGCACCGCGGAACGTTTCTCACTGGATGAGTTTCAGGCGTACCGATTATACTGGAGCACCAACTAACGTTCATGACTTCAGACAACAACAAACCACAGTGAACAACAGTGGGAAATGTTGTTTTAAAAAACGGACGGATGGAAGCGTCGATAAGAGCACGGTTGTGTGCAAATTATGCAAAAAGGAATTCGCATATCACCGCAGCACATCAAGCCTCAAGTATCACCTCAATGCAAAACATATAGCAGCTAGCGTGGACGTTAGCCTCTTTTATCGCGTTCACACCAAAAAGAGCCGGTACTAAAATTAGTTCATGAGAACCTTTTTACCCCCACGAAAGTCCCTGCTAGAGAGCAGAGAGCTGCTAGAGAGCAGAGAGCTGCTAGAGAGCAGGGACTTTCGTACGGCTCTCTTGTGAGAAAATAGCTATATTTCTGATTGGCTGGGCGGATTGCAAACCACGCCCCGTATAACTCGCAAAAAGTTTTGTGAAGCCGCCATTTTATTATCCTCGCATTAGCATTATTAGCATTAGCCCAGCGCAGAAACGCAGAGAGACTAACTTATGGCAACACAAAATAAAACATGGGAGCGGTGGAGATGAGGAGGTGTCGGCGTTCTGGCGATTTACTCGGAAGGCTTCAGTAGAAGCTGCTGGGAGTCCCAGCAGCTTCTACTGAAGCCAGTCCCTAACTCCGGGGACTTCCGGCCGGGGACTTTGGGCGGCAGTAAACACCGTGAAGTGGTTTGCGGCCTGCCAGTAAACCCAAAGCAGAAGAAGAAGAAGTGACGTCAGCGGCTTCATTTGCCTAATCCACCCCCAGGTTCAAAGAGTTCTCATGAACCTTTGTGGGAAAAGTACTGCGGTGTGAATGCGCCTAATGGTATACTAAAATCCATGTGAAAAAAATTGCTTCTCACTGTTCTTAGGTCAAATATTTATATGTGATTAAAAATGCGATTAATTTCGATTAATTAATTACAAAGCCTCTAATTAATTAGATTAATTTTTTTAATCGAGTCCCGGCCCTAATTGCATAATGTATTTTAAGAGGATCTTGGGAAAGTAACAGTCTGGAGGACTATGAACAAGTAAACTAAGGTGTTGTGTTACTGCGGGAGGATCAGTGTGTAATAATGTCATTTTGCGACTCTCCCAAAACCCAAGAAAGTAGCTAATACCATCATGATCTATACATGGTTGTTTCCCATTCCAACAGCGGTGTGTGTTTTTAGGAAAGAATAAATGTGTTACATGAAGATCAACTACTCTCAAAAATGTGTTAGTTTCCTATTGTCAGTAGTTCAACAAGCCAGCTTTAGATTGACTGATTTAGATTGACCATGCTAACAGACAAACACTCTCCCTGGATCAGATAGTGCAGATAGGCTTCATGCCCTTCAGTAGCGCTTTTTATCAAGACAAATATTGACAGAAGATAAGTGCTGCTATCAGGGAGTCATAAAAAGCTGTAAAAACAGTCACCATTCGAACCAAACTGAACAAGCTTTTACGGAGCTTTGAATACATGAAGAGGCTTTCTTCCGAGTAGCATTTACATGATTAGGATTTATAAATAAAAGGTTTATATTGTGAGTTTAGGGCAGACAAACCTAGCTATTTAAATGGTCCAACACAGGCCATGCTGTCGGCCTGCTGCCGTCTGTACTGCAGAGGACATGCACATACAGGAAAAAGCTGCAGAAGCCAACACCGCCAGAAGTGCTAATAATTTGTTGTGCTTTGCATAAGACAAAGCAATCATTGTGTTCTGATGAGCTTTTTTCATTTATTCAGAAGATGCAATACAGTCAGCTATGTTCTTTCATTTTCCCTGCGATCAAAAAAGAGTCATGTCAAGTTTAGGGTACTTTCATAGTCATTTTTGGCTTAATACTGCATAGATTAAATTGATCCAAGACGACATTACATGAAGAAAGATCTACTTTGAGGTGTGTTTTTGTTTAACCCTTTCCCTTTTCTCTTTTCCTCAATCTCTCCCAGATTGCATTAATGACAGTCACACTGTTCCCCATCCGTCTACTCATAGCTGCATTCATGATGCTGCTGGCTTGGCCTTTTGCCTTCCTGGCCTCATTAGGGCGCTCGGAGACCACCGTCGAACCCCAGTGCCTCTGGAGGAGGTGGGTGCTTTGTCTTGTATTTGTCTTAAAAACAAGTTGTATAGCAGCAACTGTAGAATGCTATTAGCATTAGGCCACCAGTGATGGTTAAAGTAGGAATAAATGGCTCCAAAATTGTACTTTTTCTGAATCCAAACAGTAAGACTATATCATAGGATTTCCTTTCTTTTGTGAAATGGGCCATCTATTGATACATTTTCAGGAATTCATTCTAACAGTCTGTGACTACTAGTCTTCAAAACCTGTGTTTATACAAATGCAACTAAAAAGGAAGCCGAAATGTCTGGCATGTCGCAATTTAGAGTTTTGTGTTAAAAAGAAAAATTCCCCAAAACCATGTTACCTTTAAGTTTATTTTAAGTAATTCTTGAGCTTTAATAGTGTAGATGTTCGACCCTTTGTCTCAGTTGTGTGCTCCATACTGTCACAGCTGATACAGGTCTCCACTTCGTGACGAAAATAGCACCAGAAAGGTCAATGAACATGCGGTTGAATCATGTCACATCGATGACGCCTGTACCTTTTTCGTGTGGGCGGGTTGGTGAAAGTTGCCTTGAGAAAAATAAATAGATTTTTTTTTAGACTCAATCAAGTCTTAAAAGACACAGGTGGTTAGAAACTCAGTTATATTAAAGAGTAAGAATAGTTAGAGGTATACATGTACAAAATGCCATGTTGGGCTTGAACATGCAAACTGCTCTTTAACAACACGAAAGGTGAAGTAAGCTTTTCTTTTGCAGTTTGCAAATTGTTTGGTTCTCTAAAAGTTCCTCTTGGTGTGTAAACTGTGTTATTTCTGTATAGATTATCATTCAATTATGTTGTTTTTACATTTGGCGCTATTCACTGATCCTATTTATTCAACATTGAATTTCTACCAAGCCATATTCTTCTATTTCAACTTTTAAATGTCTTTGGATACCTATGTATCATACGGTCCCTGTCTGCAGTTTAATTGAAAGATGCCTCACACATGCATGATTTTGTTTTCAGAGTGGTGGACATAATTCTGAAGATCATCATGCGGGTCATGTGGTTTGTGGGGGGGTTCCATTGGATGACGGTGAAAGGGCGAAGGGCGTTGCCTGCAGAAGCACCCATCCTCACCCTGGCCCCCCACTCGTCCTACTTTGATGCCATCCCAGTCACCATGACAATGGCCTCCATCGTCATGAAGGCTGAGAGCAAGGACATACCTCTCTGGGGCAGTAAGTACCAAACGCATACCAGGATATATTAGTCTCATAGTTCTATCTGCCATGTGCCCTGTGTTGTGATGTTCTACTTGGTAAAAGGCAGGTCTCAACAGTTTCTGGGATCTTGCTTTAAATGAAGGGATTGCCCAATCTACTTTGCCGAATGTCTTTATAAGGGTTGAAGTCAAAAACAGCTTGGTTATATTCAAAGCAGTGGTTGTAAAGGAAATATGTTAACACAAGAATACACACGCCTTGCTGTAGTTTAGAAGCTGACATTTCCAAAAATATGACCATTACCTCTCAGCTCTGACTCGGCAAGTTAACACTTCAGTTCCAAAGTCATAATGACACACTTAAACTCATGAAACCACTCATGACAGGAGGAAACGGAAATTAAATATTCTTATTTTAGTTAGTTAATCACACTTTCACTGCAGAAGGAGAATAACGTCCTAGTAACTCACAACTTCCTTAACAGATCTAAAGATGAAAGCATAGCGTGTCAGACATAATTGCCAATACTAACCATAACCGATTTTATGGAAGGGAAAATTGTCTCATTATGTTCTTCATGAAATCCGAGGCTCACGTTCTCGGCATTATTTATTTTAACCTTCATCTCTTATCATCATCCACCTGGCGTGGTTGCCACTGCAATTAAAGGAACACTTTATGTGAATGTATCCTACCATCACTGCTTATAGTGTATCCCATCTGGCAGCTTGAGTTATTTTCTGTACACTCAAGTATTCTCAAGTAGGCCTTGCTGAGGGACCGCCAGTACACACACTGTTTAGTGTAAGAACAGGTTACCTATACATTCAGTTTCATTTGTAGTTCCAGTTCAGGCGTTTTTATGCCTCTGCAGGCCCGAGCCAGCAGGACATGCAGTAAAAGTACTAGGTGTGTGTTTTGTAAGCCTTTGTTTCTCCCCCCCTTCTCTGCCCACTAAGTCAGTAATTAGCCACTTCATGCTGAGTGATGCTTGCCAAACAACTTAAGCCTTACTTGCCCGTATTTCAGGATTGAGAACACATGTTCTCGTAGACAAATTGGCATTACTATCAACTTGATACCTTAGTAGCAACAATGGATATGTCTTGTATTTTCATTGAACATTGTTTTTATTTTTGGGTTATCAACTAATGTGTTCCCTCAAATTAAGTTTGACTAGTCGTGCTGGCCTGGCCAAACAAGTGGAGTCCAGAAAAAGCATTAAGACCTGATCAGCCACGGTGACGTGTGCAGAGTGTCTCAGGGTACCAGATAGAGACCTAATCCCTTCCTCTGGGCAGACAGCTCACAGTTGGAATCAATTTGTTCTTCAATCAATCAATGTTTATTTATATAGCCCAATATCACAAATGTTACATTTGTCTCAGTGGTCTTCACAGTTTGTACAGAATATCAGTATGACAATACGACACCCTCTGTCCTTAGACCCTCAAATCGTACAAGGAAACACTTCCAGAGAAACCCCACAGAGGAGGGATCCCTCTCCCAGGACGGACAGACGTGCAATAGATGCCGTCTATTCACCCACAATCAAAAAGTGTTTACCCTGATTAAAACTGATAAGTTAACATAACTCAACTTATCAGTTTTTACTCGACAGTAGTTTTTTGGTATCTATCCAGATCCCAAGCTTTTTATTCAACAGTGCTTTTCAGTTACAGAAATGTCACAAAAACACAGAGGAATGTTTCAGTACAGCCACATTCTTCGTCTCTTCACTGTGCATCTCTGTTGCTGAGTAATTTGGATTCAAGTGCTTTGTTTAAGGACATCATTAGAGTGGGGGTTGATGTAAAAAGGAGATGATATGCTCTCTTCCCTTCCTGGCATTTCTTAGTGAAGTGTTTTTGCTTCTGAAATGATGTATCTGATCGTTCAAAAGTCATGATCATAATGCTAATTACATCATTCTTTACCGTTTAAGGCTATATATTGCTGCACTAATCAGTCCTTAAGCTGAAAATGTTATCATTTTTCAGTCAATGAGGTTTTTTAATGGCTTTTTGGTTTGATGGCAGACATACAGTAAGGTCTGTGATTAAGGCAGTTTGAGAGATTGTCACTTATGTTTTACAACAAAAAAGGTCAGCTTATAACCCACTTGTGAATTCTAAAGCTTGTACTTTTCTTACATTTGTTTGCTAACAAGTGGCTAAATTAGACTATAGTCATGTGACCATGGTATAGTTTATTATAAAACATTACTATCTCACTTCTGGTGATTGCATTTATGCTTCAAAAATCTGAAATGGTGAAATACAATTGACTTTTCATTAGAGGATTAAAGGAACCAGGGCAAAGATAACTTCTGGCTTGGCCTACAAAAGTATGTCATCCCTGCGGCACAATATACATACACGGCATGTGTTACCTGGTTAACTGGTCTGAGTTCTTGCAAATTGTGCATATTCCTGTTGGATCCAGCTGTCAGAGTTCCCTCATCTCCTTCTACCTAATGCAGTAGATACCAATAATGCATAGAATCATTAGTTCATGTCAAATTAAATAAATACATTGGCATCTGTTCTTTCTGCATTCTTGTTTCCAGCTCTGATTAAGTTCATCAGACCGGTGTTTGTCTCACGGTCGGACCAGGACTCCAGAAAGAAGACTGTGGAGGAGATCAAACGCAGAGCCCACTCAGGGGGGGAATGGCCTCAGGTAAACAGAAATGTGATGCTTATACAGATAACATCACCTGATTTAAACAGGAGTACACTTAATTTTCTTTTTCTTTTTAGTGCAAGCTAATAAACATCGTTTTGTTTTGTAACATTTTGTTCAGGATGAGACCCCTGTTTTTGTTTTTTTATTTGTGAACCATTCCTTCCTTCCTACAGATAATGATATTTCCAGAGGGAACATGCACAAATAGATCCTGCCTAATCACCTTCAAGCCAGGTAAAACGCTCCCATCATCATTTTATTAAGCTTTTCTCTTTTGATTATCCTTCAAAATGATGCTGCCATTTTGCTCACATGCTGTGACATTTCACATGTAACCGTGCGTGCAAATGTACTTATTATTACAAATAAAAAATGTTCTGCTGGAAGAACATCTTTGATAAACAGATAAAGCATAGAGATAAAATAAGGTTGGGCATTTGGCTGGATCGTTAAATGCCTTTTTTAATTTCTGCATTGATTCCTTTGGTGGTTTTGATTTGTAAAATGTCATTGAGTGCACCGACAAAACATGCAAATATTATTCAAATAATTGTGCTATTGTTCTTTAGTCAATTTATTTGTCTTGTTTACTCTTGCAGGGGCCTTCATCCCAGCTGTACCCGTGCAGCCTGTAGTGATTCGTTACCCCAATAAACTGGTAAGATAATTTGAACAAATATTCAATACGATTTTAGTTTTCTACATAACAATTTAAGTTTCTATTTTGTATTGAAGTGTTGTAAAATCAAACCAATAAGGGATGAGTGACTCCCCAGCAATCTCCATATTCACAGCGATGTTAGTTGTGAAGTATTTGCATGTGCCATATTTTGTGTGTGAACGTGTGTGTTTGTATGTGTGCGTGTGTGTATACTATGCCTGGCACCTCACCAGAGTCTCACTCAGTGGGTAGGTAACGTTCTTGCCGGTCACATGGTGGGTAGAAAGATATTGCAGTTATATATAGTATCCATGAAGGAGAAAATGTTCTGAGTAATGCAGAAAGATGTGCAAACTCAGCAGAATCCCATACGGTACTGTGAGATCCTCCACCGGTCAACGCTTGTTGTCGTGGTCACATTGTGTCGTTGTTTGATTTTAAATACAGGGATAACGCTGACACTGTTTCAAAAGGTAAAGAAGAGAACACATACAGTGTCTATTGGTTAATAGTTTTAAATGTAAGATTCAGCCTAACACAACAAGAAACAAAAATAGTCAATATAAAAAAAAACACAATCAGTGCTTCGATTCCCTGTGCCTATTTACTGCAAAGCTCCGCAGATATCATGTGTCTGTAAAGGCTTTGTAATCCAGTCGTGTAGTAATTATGTAGATGCAACATGCTGTGGGCATATGGGACTCATGTTGCCGCAGCAGCATACTTAAGTGAATGCATTATTTTTGGTTTATTTATAAAACATTTACAACTGTTTATTTAATTTATGATTCAAATGTAATTCCCATTGTGCTTCCACAGCCTCTGGCAAGTATATTCTATATAGGTGAAGATTTTATTGTGAAAGAATGAGTTTACCCCACTCATGCTCTGGATGCTCGGATCAGACTAAACTAATTTGCGTCTCGTATGAATGATGGACTCTTTCTTCAGGAGAGGCCTACTGGAACGACAAACGAGTATGATTTAGTTGACGTAGTTTACATCTGGGTTATGAGAAGAACTCAGTGATGCGCACACAGTTTCTTCCTGATAGCCTGACTGGGAATCTGGCTAATCATGGTGTGACTCAGAAGGCAAATAAAGGCATATCTCTTGTTATAGGGCTTGTTGTTAGTGAGGCTGTGGTAATGCACGCAGGACATTGTGAGATGGAACTGTTTTAGGCTGTTATAAATGCAGCTAACATGTTCTATTGAGGGAGCTATTGCTATATGGTCTGCTATATCTGAGGTCAGTTGCAGAAATGTTTGCAACATTTGAGTAGTGCCAGTCCTGACTCTGTGGTTAGGCTTTTGAAATAAATGAGTCACAAGATTGATACATATCTGAAATATGTCACTTATTTTCTTGCTAAGTCATTGTGTTTGCATGCACCTTAGTATCTACAGTATGCCTACATTACTGTTAGTAAACCTGTGCACTTAGCAATGACTAACGAGACACACTTGTGCTTAAAAATCATTTCTTTACACTTAGAAATATGCCAAAACTGGTATATTGTTATGTTGAAGGGGCAACCTGATCTTATCATGATTTGTAAGGCAAGGCAAGTTTATTTATATAGCACCTTTCAGCACCAGGCAATTCAAGGTGCTTTACAAAAATGAAAGACATTCAGACAAAGGCATTTAAAAACAGTAAAAGATAATAAAAGAAACATTCAAAGAAAAACAAAAAATGAAAGACATTAAGAAAATGGCATTTAAAATCAGTCATTAAAAAGAAAAGCTAATAAAATAAACATTAAAAGATAGAAGTTACAGTGCAGTCTAAGATATGAATAGTTCAATTATTTCGGTTCTTGATTTTTAATTTATTCACAGAACCTCCCTTTGGAAATCCGAACATTTCCGTCCCGATTGTTAATTTAGACTGATTGTTTTCACCATGTTATGCTCGCATGACATCCACAATCGGACCCTCAGGAGGGTGTACTAGCCCCCTACTCTGCTTTGTGTTCCATAACAAAGTCTTTAAGTGTTACCTGAACACCCCGTGTTACCAAAACACTATTTTTCACCCGTCGGCGATGTGATACTTGTTCCTCAGTACAACTCACCTAAAAACTGATCGTAAACCCTGGCTACGATGGATATCCCAAATATCCTACTTTCGAGCAGTCCCTCTCATAAATGTCATGGAGAAATTAATTACGTTTAAATTTAAAACATTAAAAGAAAAAATACATGGATAAAAGTTACAGTGCAGTCTAAGATATGAATAGTTCAATTAAAAGCAGCGACAAAAAGAAAAGTCTTCAGCCTGGATTTAAAAGTAGTCAGAGTTGCAGCGGACCTGCAGGTTTCTGGGAGTTTGTTCCAGATATTTGGAGCATAATAACTGAACGCTGCTTTACCATGTTTAGTTCTGACTCTGGGGACAGAAAGCTGACCAGTCCCAGAAGACCTGAGAGATCTGGATGGTTCATAATTTAGCAGGAGGTCAGAAATGTATTTTGGGCCTAAACCATTCAAAGCTTTATAAACCAGCAGCAGTATTTTGAAATCTATTCTTTGACACACAGGAAGCCAGTGTAAAGACTTCAGAACAGGAGTGATGTGATCCACTTTCTTAGTGTTAGTGAGGACTCGAGCAGCGGCGTTCTGAATCAGCTGCAGCTTTCTAATAGATTTTTTAGTGAGACCTGTGAAGACACCATTGCAGTAGTCGAGTCTACTGAAGATAAAAGCATGGACAAGTTTTTCCAAATCCTGCTGTGACATTAGTCTTTTAATCCTAGATATATTCTTTAGGTGATAGTAGGCTGATTTAGTAACTGTTTTAATGTGACTGTTGAAACTCAGGTCAGAGTCCATGACTACACCTAGATTTCTGGCTTTATCTGTTGTTTTGAACATTGCACACTGAAGCTCAGCGCTAACTTTTATACGTTCTGACTTGGCTCCAAAAACCATTACCTCAGTTTTATCTTTGTTTAATTGGAGAAAGTTCCGACACATCCAGTCATTGATTTGTTCAATGCACTTACTCAGTGTTTGAATTGGAGCATAGTCTCCTGGTGAAATTGTTACGTAGATTTGTGTGTCATCCGCATAGCTATGGTAACTTATGTTGTTGTTTTTCATTATCTGAGCCAGTGGTAGCATGTAGATGTTAAAGAGAAGAGGCCCCAAGATGGAGCCTTGAGGAACCCCACATGTCATATTTGTCAACTCAGATGTGTATTTACCCATATAAACAAAGTTGTTTCTGTCCTTTAGGTAGGATTCAAACCAATTTAGAACCGTTTCCGACAGTCCCACCCAGTTTTCCAGTCGGTCTAGTAATATGTTGTGGTCAACAGTGTCAAACGCAGCACTGAGATCTAATAATACTAACACTGAAGTTCTGCCACTGTCTGTGTTTAAGTGGATGTCATTGAAGACCTTTACAAGAGCAGTCTCAGTGCTGTGGTTAGGACAAAAGCCTGACTGGAACACATCGAAACAGTTATTTAAATGCAAGAAATTACTCAGCTGTTGAAAAACAACTTTTTCAATGATTTTACCTAGAAATGGGAGGTTTGATCTGGGCCTGTAATTGTTCATTACTGAAGCATCTAGATTATTCTTTTTTAAGAGTGGTTTGATGACTGCAGTTTTCAGGGCCTGTGGAAAAACACCTGAGTGAAGAGACTTGTTTACTAAATGAAGTAGATCTGAGGCCATGCAAGGCAAAACATCTTTGAAAAATCCTGTTGGAATAATATCAAGGCAGCAGGAGGAGGATTTCAGAAGTTGTATAATGTCCTCTAGGTTTTTATCATTAATCTGATGGAATTGTGTCATGGTGCTTGAATTGTTATTAGGTGGACACAGAGACAACACATTTGCTGTTCCTGATGCAGAGGCACTGACTGCTTGTCTGATTTTCTGAATTTTGTCAGTGAAGAAGGAGGCAAAATCATTGCACGCCCTGGTGGATAGAAATTCAGAGGCTACTGACACTGGGGGGTTAGTTAGTCTGTCGACGGTAGCAAACAAGGCACATGCGTTGTTTTTGTTTTTGGTGATGATGTCAGAGAAGAACGATTGTCGTGCGTTTTTCAATTCCAAATTATAAAGGCCAAGTCTCTCTTTATAGATTTCAAAGTGAACCTGGAGATTTGTTTTTCGCCACCTGCGTTCAGCTTTTCGACATTCTCTTTTTTCTGTTTTCACGCTCATGGCCTTTCTGCAAGGAGATATTTTCTTGCCAGACACTTCCTTTACCTTAGTTGGAGCAATGGCATCTATAACATTTTTAATTTTTTAATTAAAATGATCTACTAGCTCATTTACTGAGATGTTATGTATGTAGCAGGGGCAAGTGTGGAAGAACAATTCTGAGTAAACATTTCCCTAGTATTTTCAGTTAAATATCGCTTTGTGGTTACCTCTTTTTGAACATTTTTGTGAACAGAAATAGAGCTCTCAAAGAAAACACAGGAATGTTCAGAGAGTGCAACATCAGTCACCACAACCTTAGAGATATTCAGACCCTTTGAGATAATTAAGTCCAGAGTGTGCCCCTTATTGTGCGTGGGCTCCGTCACATGCTGAGTCAGTCCATAGCTATCAAGAACACAAAACAGTTCTTTCGCCCCTCTGTCCTGGGGGTTGTCAACATGGATGTTAAAATCACCAACAATGACTAGACGGTCAAAGTCAATACACACTATAGACAGCAGTTCAGTAAAGTCATCAAAAAAGCTTGCACAGTATTTGGGTGGTCTATAGATATTTAGGAACAGAGCTCGAGAGGAGCATTTCAGCTGAAGGGCCACATATTCAAAAGAATCAAAGTTTCCATACGATGTCTTCCTGCATTGAAGGGAATCATTGAACAGAATAGCAACTCCACCCCCTTTCTTATGCATTCTTTCCTGACTCATAAAACTAAAGTTGGGAGGGGTTGATTCGATAAGAACAGCTGCACTGTTATTTTGTTCAATCCAAGTTTCTGTTAAAAACATAAAATCGAGATTGTGCTCAGTGATAAAATCATTGATTAAAAATGTTTTTCCTGCCAAAGACCTGACATTTAATAAAGCTAGTTTAAGTTTGTTAAACACACTATCAGTCATGTTTTTTGTAACAAGCTGTGGCTGACATGGAATCACTGCTAAATTAGATACACTCACACAAACGTTTGAGCGCTTCCTGTTTCTAAAATGATTCACCGCTCTTAATCTATTACCTATCAACACAGATATCGGCAAAGCTATAGGCAGGCAGGGCCCCGACATGTCCTGGAAAGAGTTGAGAGTGCCATACGCCCTTGAGCCTGGACCCATCACATAACAGTAAGAGTTTGTTGCGTTTTGTACACACACATCCTTATCAGGAGACGGGGGAGATGGTGCGGGGGTAAAGGACATGCTGCCAGGGGGGGAGGTGGTTGACGTAGGCGCTGTGATGAAGACGGGGGAGATGGTGCGTGTCTCTGCGGTGATTTTGGTGGGCGTCGTTGAGGAGCGGGGGTAAAGGACATGCTGCCAGCCCTGCGTATCGCCTTAGTTTGGTCTTTGAAATCCAGGAAGGAATCGGTGCCAACCCTCTGTATCTCCTTCATGTGTTCAACGATCTCCAGATTTGTAAGCGTGGTGATTTCCTGCCTTAACCTCATTACGCTTAATCTGGTTTTTGGTGGGCAAATGAGCATGAACTGTTTCTTAGCAGGAACAGCTACGGGAAGAAACAAACAGTTAATAAGAAAAGCATTCTTGAAATATTAAAATGAATATTTACTTCCAACTGATGTTTACACTTCATGTTCTTTACAGGACTCGATCACATGGACGTGGCAAGGGCCTGGAGCGTAAGTACACAATTCCTTATTTCATATAAAGTGTGCTTCGGTATATTTGCTTACTGTTAAAATGTACAATGCACTGTGTTTTTTAACTCTTTTTAAATGCATCATAAATATATAATAAAATAAATGATAATAAGACTTGATGATGATGATGATGATGATGATGATGATGATGATGATACAGTTATATAAATCCTCCAACATATGGGTTAGGGTTACACTGTACAGAAAGATAATTATTCCGACCTAAAAAAAAATACATATTGAATAAAGTAATTTGACAGTGTCTCTGAAAAAGATTAGCGTTATAGTTTTTCTTATGAACATAATTGGAAGGTTCGTCAAGGTTGTCATTCTACAACTCAAGTGCAGGATACTATTTTTGAACTGAACATTGTGGTCTGAACCAGAATCTCCTCAGTGAGATCTCAAATAGACTGGAAGCAGATTAGTTCTGGCTGGAGGAGAAACACTGCCCTTGTTATCTGTCCCTGTCGCATCCTCAGAATATATGTCTGTAGAATAGTGTGTCTGTATCACGTTTCGGTGTGGTTTCCATCATTATGCTGGCTCTGTGAATGCATCTGGCTGTGTGCCCGGCTCGGAGAAGCACAGCTATACATTATTGGAATAAATCTCTGAAAGACACACACAAACTCTAACATTATGCAGTCAGACTATCATTTCATTTCAAACCTGTCATAGAAAGTTTAAGAGTAATACTACATTTACATATACATATATATATTCATACCAAAGTTGAGCTTGTATGCATTTCCCTAAGCTTTGACAAGCGTACTTTAAAAAAAAAATAGTCTGTCCAAACACTGGCTTTTTGGTTTTGAAAAGTAATGATTTAACAATGTGAACAATTTAGAAAAAGTGTTGAGAAAAAAAGTGTTGTCTTTTGAACGCACCGTAAATTATTTGTCGGACCCTTTTTGCCATGGACATGGACATGGACACCAATCACATGTCTTTGTTACTGCATTTGTTTACTGTTTTTGAAAGTGTCCTTTTATCTTCACAGGTTTGAAATCTTGTGGCTGACACTCTGCCAGTTGCACAACAGGTTTGTGGTCGAGGTAAGCTCCCCATACTGCATGTACATCTTGCCCTATTAATTCATGATAATCCCTGCACTTGTAGTATTTCAACGTATTCTATGTGAAAGGAAGTTCATTTCTTCTCTCTGTCTCTCTGCAGTTCCTTCCCATTTACACACCGTCAGAGGAGGAGAAAAAGAACCCTGCTCTCTATGCTATCAACGTGAGACGTGTCTTGGCAAAGTAAGTTACATGTATTGTTCATATCATATGTGGCAGACGCTCCTTTTGAATGTACAAAGGGAAAGGTTGAGGGGATAGGTGATAACTCTCCACAGTTATTTTTTAAATGTATAAACAACAAATACAATATACCTTTGTATTGTCTAATAGGGACAAAGAGCAATGTAACAAACAAGGAAGTGCCTGTGTTTGCTTTTAGGTTAACAACATTATTGTAATTCGACCAAGGAGAAGGATTGGCGAGAGTTTAACACAGGTCAATCACTTTGTGAAAATGTGAAAATAAAATGTTAAATTGAAACCTTCTATTTACATTTTGCATCCCTGATATTCCTGAGTATTGACACTTTGTCTACCTTGAATACCTCTCCTGCATTGAGTATAACAACTCCTGCAGTATTGTTTATGTTCTGTACTACCCGGCATATCTCTTCATTCAAACCATCGTATGCAGTGCTCACAGTTTACCTGTGTTATCATTCTCTCCCACACTCTGTGCTTCACTTCTTGAAGCTGGGGATGGGAAACAAAAGTCCTGCAGAAAAACTAAACACATAGTTCCAATCATCAAAGTTGCCATATCAGTCACTAAGTTATCCTTTATGAGTCTTCACCAGAGTTCGTATTGATTTGTACATACTGATCACTGTCTCCTTGTCGCCTTGCTCAGAGCCCTGGGGGTTCCCATCACAGACTACTCATTTGAAGACTGCCAGCTGGCCATGGCAGAAGGCCAGCTGAGACTGCCAGTGGACACCTGTCTGCTGGAGTTTTCCAAGCTTGCCAGGAGACTGGGGTGAGTCTCTCAACCATTCCAATGTAATCCTCCCATCAAAGAGAACCAAGCCAGGGGCAAAAGGGTGAAACAAGGGCAAAGAACTCACCAAACACTGCAGGGATCCGGATTCAATATCTGGCAGTGGTTTGCTTTCCAGCGAATCAAACTGGTCTTGTGCACAGGTGGTGGAGTATGGGATTGTGTTCTTGTGGCTGTGCTGCTGACTTCCATTGGTTGGTCTTGTGCCTGCACAGTGTGTGATCTGGAGGGGGATAGTGTCCAGTCCACACATGGCTTGGCTTATTGGTGCAACTCCTCTCTGGGAGGTGAAAGGAGAAACTGGCAGTACTAAGTCTTATGATGGAGTCTAATATTTGGCAGTGACAAGGACTAAGATTAGTGCAGATAAGAGAAAAAGGACAGAACATTTTCATTATTTGGCAGCAATACGGCAGAATCTTAATTGAATGCGGTCCAACAAAGGTAGAAATAATATGGTCTTTATGATTGTGTGTTTTCTATGGCCCAGTTATTAATGACTGGAAATGTATCCCTCCTTGCTGCCCCAGGCTAAAACCCCGGAACACTGAGAAGGTTCTGCAGGATTATGTGAACAGAGCCAGGAAGCTGGAAGGTCAGAAGCTGGACTTGGACGACTTTGCTCAGTTCCTCGACGTGCCAGTTTCAGAGATGCTCCGAGACATGTTCTCTCTTTTTGACGAGGTAAAGACTGGAACTGCTTCACTCACAACCATGACAGCTCTAAAGCAGTGGTTCTCAACTGGTGGGTCGCGACCCAAAAGTGGGTCGCGGACCCGTTTGCAGTGGGTCGCGGACCCGTTTGCAGTGGGTCGCGGATGTGTGAGTGAAGACATTTTTTTTTGGGGGGGAAAAGTCAAACTTTTATTTTGAAGGCCCAATTTTCTAACGCTGTGCATGCAGTCGGCGTTGGACTGGAAGTACCGGAGACCATAAACGGCTTTGAAAACTTCTGTCACGTAGTGATCATCTTCTCAATAAAATATCTTTGCTGATGTTTTTTCGAGTCTTCTGGCCAATCAGAATCAAGATTGTTGCCGGAAGTGCCCACGGAGAATAACTTTGCGGTAGAACTCTTCTTTATACATCCATGGGTACAATTTCAGATAAAAAAGAACACATAATCAAATATGACCCCCGAGTTGATGATTGACAGGTCACAGAACAATGGGAGATATCTACCCTTACCCACAATTTAAAGTAAGTCACACAGACTATCTCCTCTTTACTCTTCTCGCAGCAAGATGTCAGAACAAAGAGAAAAACAAACAATGGCATAAATATTATTAACATGTCGGGTAGCTAGTAATAGATTAATTTATTTTCTTCCCAGTGTACCAGAATGCATAGTTTATGTTAGTATTTCTAAAAATCTCCTGGGGGAGAATCCCCCCAGACCCCCCTTCTGGGGTTGGGTTTTCAGCATGCGTGCCTTTTTATATAGTTCAGCTTTGATTCCATCATTTCATTAAACCTTTTTTAAAAGCATACTTTAGTTCTGTGAAGGGATATAAGGGATATATGCACTGTACTTCACTTTTATCAATATTGTATGCTGAAAAGCGTATTTATTACAGCACGTTTTTTTGTCGAATAGATTTGAGTGCTTCAAAATGTTGGGTCGCGATGTATTGACCAAGTAAAAAGTGGGTCCCGAGGCCCGACCAGTTGAGAACCACTGCTCTAAAGGATAACTCTCATATTACGTAATACTCGCTTTCAATGGATAAAGCACTGCAATATAGCTACACTAAATGACAGGAGTTGTGATACATGTGCAGTAAGCATTTTCTGCTTCAGTTTAGTGCATGAATAAACTCCAAGCAGGCAGTTGACTAAGTGCTTCTATAAAAACACTGTAAAGACTGGAGGCTGCATTGAATACCAGATGCATATTTGAAACTAATCACAGCCCCTTGCTTTTCATTCGGGGATACATTTGCAGTATAGAACCCAAACAAACAATCATGTTTTTTATTGCAGTGATGTGTTCACGACCTAATCAACAATCACCCGCAGCTATTTCTGTGAAATAAATAAATGAGTAGCCTTGCTCACATCCTCTGTCTTCATCTTTCGTAAAGCGTTGTTTTTCTCTCGTTGTTCCAGCATGAAGATAACTGCATGGATATCAGAGAATATGTGATAGCCTTATCTGTCATATGCAGACCTGCCAAAACTCTGGAAACGATGAAATTGGCCTTCAAGGTATGTTCTGTTTTCAAGCTTTACGCTTATCTAACCATCAGACAGAAAAAGAGTTCCCTGTGCCTGCTTAGGATCTCAATGAGACATGTGCTGTGTTAAAATGACGCTAACTGTAGGTTCTAATAAAGCAGTTCTAGCATACTGACACATGTTTAAACATAGGTTTCTCATTGTTCATGCTCAGATGTGTATTTCATTACATCAGATTTAATGTGCATTATCATAACAACCAATCGGTTGATAACCAAACAATTTGAGTAGTATTGAGAATAAAGATTTATGATTTATAAAAAGGGAAACCACTTAAAGAGCAATTTCTCTGGCTCCTTATCTGACAACCAGTCAGAGTGCTGATAACAAGAGATAACACCTGTGCTTCTCCCCATTGTGTGTTGTGCAGATGTTTGAGGCAGAGGAGGACGGTGCCATCACAGAGATGGAGCTGGCAGTTATCCTGAAAACGGCTTTAGGAGTGACGCACCTCAGCGTGTCGCGTCTCTTCACTGCCATCGATCCCGAAGACACAGGGAAGATCACATTTGGTAAGAGATTTGATACAATTAAGTCAATAAGGTCATCTTTATTAATTTAGCTTTTGTTCATGAGGAGCAGTAGATTCACAACCATGTCAGTCTGTCTCTGGGCATTTCTTTAGGCCTCAGTCTCATGCTTTCTTTGCCTCTGGCGCCCTCCTGTGGTCTTTCACAGCGTTCAGTTATTATGCTCCAAATATCTGGAACAAACTCCCAGAAACCTGCAGGTCCGCTGCAACTCTTACTACTTTTAAATCCAGGCTGAAGACTTTTCTTTTTGCCGCTGCTTTTAATTGAACTATTCATATCTTAAACTGCACTGTAACTTTTATTCATGTAATTTTTTCTTTTAATGTTTATTTTATTATATTTTCTTTTTAATGACTGTTTTTAAATGCCATTTTCTTAATGTCTTTCGTTTTTGTAAAGCACTTTGAATTGCCTTATGTTGAAAGGTGCTATATAAATAAACTTGCCTTGCCTTTCTACAGATAAGTTCAGATGCTTTGTGGAGCAGCACCCAGACATTTCAGAGGAGTACCTGTACGCAGAGAACGCAGGCCTCAGCAGCGGCTCCTGCCACGTTCACCACACAGAGTCCAGCCTGTCTTCCCGGAAGCTGCGAGGCACTGCCAACAAAAAAACAGCTAACGGTATCTGCCCTGACTTCAGCCCCAAAGACCATGACGGCACAATAGATGGACTTTTCAAGAAACACAACTAAAAGGGTTTAAAAAGTGGGAGAAAAACAAACACCTCTCCTGGTGAGAGGGTGTTGTGTAGTGGGGGAGCAGAGGGTAGCTATGTACTTGTTGGTTATTAAAATGTTTGACAAGTATCAAATCATTTTAGTAACCACAACTACAAAAATGAAGAAGTTTACCTTACCCTTTTGTATTAGTATTGTGTCCATGATTTTGGTTATCTTCATTCTGGTAACCAGTTTATTTTGTTATAAATTCCTTTTTTTTTTCATAGAAAGGATCGTCAAAATGCCAAACAATGGCTGTCAGAGGCTTGAATACTTGTAGGGCAAGCACTTATAAAAAAATCCTGGGGCCAATGTTTTTTCCTTCAACATAGTGCTATCTGTGCATGTGTTCAACATGATGGAAGCGAGAAAAAACACAAGCCCCGGGCAGGGAAGTTAACAAATATTTAGTAAAAATCAGTGTTGGATTATTTGACCTGTAACTTGTATCGGTTCCCTCTCTTTAATGGTAGCTGCCTTTTGAACTGAAGTGCAGAGTGCATGGGCTCATGTTATTTGAGCAGTATTGAGGATTATTCATCTGAAGAAGGGAGTCCTAAGGGTACTGGTGACAATTGTAGCTACAGTAGCCACATTTGAGGTTAACCCGGGTCTCTGTGAGTGGATGGTCATAATTGCTATGAGCCTCTTACATATACAGTGATACATTTGATTTAGCTCAGGGTTCAGTGACAAAAATGTAACTTGTATGATGTCATCATTTTTGACGCTCACTGGGTGAAGTGCATGTCTTTATTTTCAGTACTCATCTGTTACTCCTCAGTCACATTATCTTCACACATTTCTTTCAGGTTGGCGAATTGAAGTGTCTTTTTTTTTTTGATTGTTGAAATCACACAACGTGGACCAAAAATGCATTGGGTGATTTAATGTCACCCGTCATGTCTGTACGGTCCTTTTCTGTCAGTGGTGTAATGGCTGCAAGGAGGGGAGGGGGCTCACAATGTGTGGCCATTGAAAGCACAGTTAGTTAGGTGGCTTTGTTGGGTATTCTAAAGGCAAGGTCATAGTACTTCCCTTTCTGTCTTACACTGCTATATTTGTAGTCATTCCTACCATTTTCACAGCATATCCTCAGTATCTCTGAAACGTCTACTTCTCATGTGTTCATGGAATATTCAAACAATGGGCCTTAAGTTGCTTGTTTTTCAAAAGATACCCAAGCACCTTTGCATCTAGCCACATTCAAGGGACCAGTTGAGAATTGGAAAATATCCACCTATGGTAATATGTTGGCCTGGTTTTTTGTGTTTTTGTTATCATGATCTAATTGGCACACAATGTGATATTACCTCTTAGTGCACTAACATGCAGCCTGCAGCGTTAATAATCAAAGGCTGGGTTGGCCTATGTTTTATTATGACTATATAGGATTACAAATGTAATCTCAAATCACTCTTCTTTAGTCATTAGTGTTCTTTAACATATTTTAGCACACAGTTTCACTTCAGTGCGAAGTATTTTATTCTGGCGTTTTGCAATGTGTCCAGAATTTACCATAAAGTATCTTTGTTTGATTTTGAAATCAAGAATCTAAAATTACAATCAATTTTTGGATTTATTGGCCAGAAAGCCACACATAATGATGCTCATTTCAATCACCTTATTTATGTCTCGTATTTCTGCAAACGTGAAACGATATTATACTACAACGCCTTTCAAAATGTACAGTGCTATACATCATGTTATTTTATAGCACGACTAAATGTTAAAGGGAATACCTCTCCTGAGCAGATGAATGAAACACAAGAGACTCTGTTTGTAGCCGGTTATACTTTGGATCTGTGCATTCATGGTTTCAGTCCATTGAGTTTGTATTTATTGATATCACTTCAGAATGAACAACTTTGAATTGTATACGTTTGTGTGGGTGAGCTTCACGTTCCCATCCCATTCATGACCATGCATACTGTACATGTACTCTCATTATGGCTTTCGGTGAAGCAATAGTTCACATCTCTTAAATCTTCTCAAAAGATATGCTTCTAAAGAGTTCTGATATGCATTTAGAATATTCCAAATGCAGGACATTTTGTGAATTTTTGAAATACGTATATGAATGATTTTTATTTCCACTGCCATGACAAAGATCTGTGATCTTCTCTCTTTTGCAGATGACAAATGAGCTACATTATCATTTTCCTTTGTATAATACTGCAAATGTTTTGTGTCGTACACCTCCTACACAGTGTAAAGGTTTATTGTTGTTATATTATTACTGCTGATTATCGCTAAGTTGACTGCTTAGAAACAACAATGCAGATTTCTTAATGAAACCGATAGCCTTGAATCTATAGAGTTTTTATGCTAAAAAAGAGAATGTATAGACAATCTTGTCACAATCAGAAGCTATCCAAAGCGCTGATCTCCAGTGGACATATTCCCAAAAAGTCATGGTTTTCAAATTTAAACTTTTTATCCAGTTTGAACCTTCTTTCACCATTGACTTTTTTTTTATGTTTAAGGCATGCAGGTTGAAAAGGGCATTGTTTAAGTGTGTCGGGCCTCGAGGTGATGTCTGCCACCACATGACGGGCCGCATCGCACAAACACACAGACTGTACGCATATATATATATATGTTAAACAACAATCTTTTACTTCTATCACCTTTTTAAACTTGTACGTATTTGTGCTTGCACTTTAGATTATTTTCTTACTTTTTTTTGGTAAAGCATGTTAAGTTTGTAAGTTACAGTATTGTAGCTCTATTTTGTTAATATAAAAACGTTTTTGCATTCAAATATCTGCTGCGATAATGAAAGCGCAGAAGAAATTAGAGATCACACATTACAGAAAGCTGTCCTACGTTACTCTATGTGAGAGCTTGGTTTGTGTAAACATCTTAACATGTTTGAATTTTGGAATTTGTATAAGCTTGAAACAATTTTGTAAACGCGTAGGACTTGGAAACGATTGGAATGACTAAAAACTGCACCGTGGAATGATTAAATATTAAATGTACTCCCAAGTGATGTGATTTTACAGCAGGTGGTTAATTATACAATTCACTATGTATGTATAATGGAACCCATACTGTTTGTTTACATAGGTGGAGAACAAAGCATTGACCCAGAATGAAATGTACTGAGCCACTGTAACCCAGTTATGTTCGTTAGTTTTTTGTAACACAATGTCAATGTGAAGTTCTAAAGAATCATATATTTTACAAGTCAAATATGTGCATTTATATATATTCAATACTTCAGTACAATTTGGCATCGGGGCTGTAAGAATATAGCGGGTCCATTTGTTTTTCACACTTTCCCTTTATGTCAAATAACTCTGTAGAGGTGAGTCTAATTTTTGTACTTGCTATCAATCTGATCAAATGTAAACCTGCGAGAGATAAACTTGTATTTATGCTACTGCTGCCTGCTTCCCACAGTTTGTCCAGCAGAGAGCCTAAGACGAAAGACTTGTGTACTCTTGACAGAGCGATAGTGTTTTTATGATGGCTTATGTCCGTGGACCAAGAAACTGAACTCTCTGTTTTCTCTGTAGCTTTACTTCCTGTCTTTTTTCTATACTCAACAGGTTTTATTTTATTAATGCATTTTGATGATGAAGAGTCATTACTGCAAGCTACTTTGAATTTGTCTGTTCAGGACTGCTATGATATAACTTGTTAATGTGACTCTTGGATTGAATAAACAAATGAAATGTTAACACGTGGTTGTTTCTGTCACGATGGTAATTGATGGTGTGTGTGTGTGTGTTTGGTTGCATAAAGGGATTTGAAGTATGATTAATAAAGGAAAGTGATTCCATCTTGCATATTGAAAAAGGTTCTACATTATGTCAAAGTTGAAATGCAGCTGATTTTTTCTTCTGTTTTCCACTATCTTGCTTATTGTACAAATGTCTCCCTCTTGAGGTAACATGGTGGCAGTGCGGTGTTGAGTCTGGAGTGCAGTTGCATCAGGTGTGTTAAAGTCTTTCATATAACTCGTGTGAATAACTGTTGCACATAATTCCTATGTCAAGAGATGTAATGCAAGTGGTATTGGCATTTCCCTGGCCCCTTGAATCCATATCATCAATATTGTTGAACCTGATCGTCAGTACATCTTTAAATGAATGTCTGATATATATATATATAATGCAGATCTTAATAAGCAAGTTGAGTTTGACATCATCAAAGCCCTTTTTCATTAGATCTGTGTTTGCAGAAAAATTGATTTACATGTTGATATATCTCCGTGGCAGCAAAGGATGTGCAATGTGTGTCATTGGGTTTTTCTATCACGGCTATCGAAGGATTTAAACTACCAATGAAGCATGTTATATAGATGACATTATTTAGTTTGCTCTCCTGGTTGTCTTCAATTTGTGTTACATCCCTGTCTCTTTTTTACTGCAGTTTTGACTGATTGAATGCCTCGCTATTTTGAACTTTCTAGTAGTACAGAGGCCTGGTTTGTCTGGCTGTTGGTTGGTCCACTACTCCACCGACTGAAAGGATTTCCATGACAGGTTGTGTAGACATTCATGGTCTCTAGAGACTGCCCTGAGTTTTTCTGTAGTATACCTATCATGTCAAATGTTGATTGATCATCACCTCGATTGTCACCTGACATTTCCTTAAGCGCCGAGCAATTACTTACTACTTACTTTTTTAATATTTGTCGTTTTCAGTTAAATAAAAACTTTTATAATCCTATAAATTGTTACCAGAAACTAAGTATCGCTTACATTGCTTTGTATGTAACAGGGGCTTGGCTGCTCAAACTTGTAACTTTAAAGTGATTGTGGTGTTTTTCTTATTAACTACTGACATGTTTTCTTCTTTATTAACTACTTCCTCTTTTGCAGCTCTTGTTATGCATCATTCAAGGCTGCCGGTCCACTGCTTTGCTCAGCAGGTAACATTTGTTGCCTTTTTCTTTTTGGGGCCGGGGGGTAACATCTTGGACTCTAATTGTCCAAAATCATCCATCACACAATAGACAAAAAATGTGCCCTCATTCCTCGTTTTGTCTTTTATTCCTTTAGAAAGTTCCTGCAGGAAGCAGACAATGCTCAGATAAACTATAAGGACGGGTGAAAGATTTTGGTTCTTCATGCTTTGCAAAGTATTTCCGGCCTAAGATCCAGATATGACATTTAGCCACCTGCAGTCAACATGTTGATGTGTCCTTGCTCCCGATGGCCAATAGTGTGTGAATGTTTGTAAATGTTAGATTCCTTGACCAAAAGTAGGACATGCTCTGTATGAATGGGGTGTAAATGGGTGAATGATGACTTGAATGTAAAGCTCTTTGAGCGGTCGTAAAGAGTGGATAAAGCGCTATATAAATGCTGTCCATTTACCAATTAACTTGTTAGAATGGAACAGAGATTTCAAAGGCATTGTGACTATACTGTTGCAGGCAATTAGGCCACTACTTGCTTTTTTCTGAAGAAAAGTGTTTCTGAAAGGCCCAGGATGTGCACAATTCAAAATGTACTTTCATTTTTACCACCACCCTCTTCCATCTCCTCTGCCTCACCTCCTGCACCCCCTCTACTCTCCCCCCACCCTCTCTGGGTCTCAGCTGTTGCCTTTATGAAAACAAGACACTCGATTATGTTCACCTCATCGTTTGTCCGAGCTCCATCGGAAACCTCATACATCGAGCGCGGCCTACATCGACCCAACAATTTCTGATATGAGGCCCAAGGCTTGATGGATGATTGCACTTTCAGGGTTTGTTGGTGCGACTGTGGTGTTGGTGGGAGGGATTAGTGGCCGATTGATCACTGAAAGTGGCTTGCAAACAACAAGCTGTCATTGTGGACACACAGCCATAAATCTGTCCGTGGGGAGCGGGCTGATTGGGTTATTTAAAACGCTGTCCCTGTTTTGGTTGGGTTTGAAATGGGAGAGGTCTGAGTGTCAGGGATAATTATGTTTAGACCTGTCGGACATTACAGGTAATGAGATTTTCTGCCTATTGACAAGGCGGTAGGCAGGGGCGGATCTAGAAAAAATATTCATGGGGTGGCAAGAGGGTGGCAGGAGAATTTCAGGGGTGGCATCCCCTGGCAGAAGTATATGCTGATTTAATCGCAGTCATATCAATCAATGTTAACTTGGAAAGCCACAATATTGATATTTTTAACTCAATAACATTAGGTGACATTATTGTGGCACATCAGTAAAGCCTTAAATATAAATATATAAGGTGGCAGACATAATTTAATGAATTTTAACTGAACAATAACTGAATGAGTTTGTCTCACTCTTAGACCAGCAGGGGTACCAAATATATGCAGACTGCTGCAATAAGTACATTAATTAACTGTCTCATCGATGTTTGTCTGTATGAATATGATAATATTAACAATGATATTATTCCTATCAGCTGTCAATCACTGTTATTATTCACATATTCAGTGTTATTATTAAATAAACTATATTTTTTGGAGGAGTTAATGATGAATGTTCCTCAAGATGCTTGCTCACCCTCCTTCAAATTTGAAAGACAAGTAATTACTATCATAAATCAAAAGAATTAAAAGAACAGTTCAGCGCCCCACAACTTCATTGCAAACACTTACAACCTTGACTTTACATCAGAAAGAACAAACATTAAAGAAGTGACTAACTGCACCAATTAGGCCTTGTGGCCTGTAGCACCAGCACCATCCTTGATGGAGCATATGTGTGGGCTGGACTTGTATTTTACAGGAAAGGAGTGAGCAGAGGGTAGAGTTGTCGATTCTTGTTCTGTTTTCTGTGACTATCTTCCTCACCCTCTCAAGAGGTTTCTCAATACTCAAATGTCCCCTCCTCGACTCCTCGGTCCTCCGGTAGTGACCCGGAAATGAATTTCAGCGCGCCATGTTGAAGGACATCTCATTTCTCTAAATGCACTTCGAGGACCGAGCATCGAGGAGGAGCTCTAACCGAGGAGACACTAATGCATCCTCCACGGCTCCTCCACGGATGCATTTCCGGGAACGCACGGCCGGACTTATCTCAGCCAATGACAGCTCTGCATGCATCCCTTGGATATTATATTAGTAACTGCTTTCATCGCAACGCGATGTTTACAGTGAGAACAGCTGTGAGGTCCGTGCAGAAAGCAGAGCAGTGTGTAAAATATATATCACTCAGTATAACAGGCCTACATTACTTTCTGTATTTGTATGCTGTAGTTTAGTAGATATCTTCAAACAAAGAGTCGATATTTTTCTAAGACCATTTAGTGCTTCACATAATAAAATACACAACGGCTGTAGCCTGATTATGTTTTAGGAGCAGTAGGTGTGTGTGGTACAGTGTGTAGGTGTGTGTTGTACAGTGCGTAGATGCGGCCGACAGAGGGTCTCAGTTGGTTTGGTGTCCTCTGCTTACTTTTAATAGTTTGTACAACTTTTGGCCCGTAATTTCAAATACTATTATTTAACAACTCTTTTTATTGGGTTCTTTTATTTGGGGTTAAGTACATTGTCAGAATAAGTGAGAAATTGATTTAACTTCTGTTAGACAGCTATCATACTGAATACATATTTACTGTGAATGTATGCAAACATTTATGGCATATGGCTGTCTAACAGAAGTTAAATTCAGTCCTCACTTATTCTGACAATGTACTTAACCCCAAATAAAATAACCCAATAAAAAGAGTTGTTAAATAATAGCGAAGTCACGTTGTAATAAAAATAACTCATCTCTCTCGAGTTTTCTTTTTGAGCTTTGCTAAAAGCCACTGTGTCAAGTGTCCATCTTGGGTTGCCGTCCGGAGTTGTCCAATATGGCGCACCATCTCGCACATGCGCAGTACCGATCGTGCAGGGGGACGGATCGGGTAGTGACAATATCATGTCTGTGCTCTGCTTAAAGGTTTGATGTGGGCGGGGCTAAGTATTGTAAAGTTGTTGTCACTTAATTCCAAGAACCAATCAGGATTTAGCAGTAAATGAATCCGAAACTTAAAACACTTGTTGGGCTGTGTTGCACACTCCCAACCAAATCCAAGCAATTATTTACAATGAAAAAAAATCAATTTTGCTTTGAAAGCTGCTACGGATTAAATCCTCACCATCACAAAGAACACCCTAGAACAATTGAGGAATTGATGCAGAATTAAGATATCCATTTGAATCAATAAAATAATTAAAGATTATAATCAATATTTTTTGTACATTTGAATCCCATTCATTCACATGTCATTGTCGACTCTAGGACCTGGTGCTGATTTTTCTTAAAATGTAGTTTTTGCGTTAGGGATCATTTTTTTATTTATGATGATGATAGACAATGTGTATACTGTACACATACTGTACACACACAGAAATGCTCGTTATAATTATTTCAACCTTAATTAAAGCATTTTATTTACAGGAATATTTATATACAAAAAACATCTGGTAAATGTTTGAATTATATCATGCTGTGAACATGTTTTTGTTATTATGAATCCACAATGAAGAAAAGATAAACACTTTAAGCTTCTTTCACAGCAGTGAAATCCTCTGGCTAAGAAAGATCCATGATGTGATAACATTAACCACAATTTACCCTAATAGCATCTCGGTCTGTTTCGACAGTAGTGAAAGACAGAACATAAAAAAAATATCACACATCCAAAGAATGTCTTTTAATTCTTGCTTTTATTTTTCCCTCTATAGATTCATACAAAGAAAAGTAATCCAGCAAAATACCTAAATCAGGTAAAAAG